CTAATACAATTTTGATAGATGTTGATTATCGCAGTGATCAACTGTTTACAAATGAGATTTTCAACAAATCCCGTGACAATGTTCCAGAAGAATCAAACGTTGGTGACCTCATATCAAGCGACATTGTTCCCCACTATTTAATCACTTTCAGTGACTCCCCTGTTCAATCTGACAATTATGTGTTAAATAAAGTCAAATTAATTCTAACTTGGGAATATGAGGACCCAACATTATTTCGTGGGGGAGGATGAACCCAGAAAATTTCAAAATCCGGATATCAACTCCGGATCTTCAAAAAAAAGGGGAGGTGTTGTGGATGCGGAAGAATAGACCAATAATTATCATGTTAAGTCCAGTGGTGTCCTTGGACTTTAAATGTACATTTCTTATTGGTCGATGTTTATTCACTTGTTAAATATATTGTAAATTGTTGTTTCCTATTTTTATGGTACGATGTGGTATGCTTGATTGGTATATAAACAAAGTATGTTTGAAATACAATGATTCATATCTCAGAGGTTGTGACTTGTGTTCTGGACTCAACTAACTGGGCTAGACAGGGAAGCGAGACCAATAGAGACTCTAGGCCGTCCGTACGTGTTTTCCGTGTCACTGTACTGCGATCGATCAATAAATACGCTGCTTATCAAACCCTGCAGTCTCACAACCTAAATTCATAACAATAACATTGCATATTGGAAGGAAAGCACACAATTCCAAGTGTTTTATACTCCACTAACAATACAACCGTCAGAATGAGCGACAAAATAAAAGCAATTCTAATAGCAATAGACTAGAGAATGCCCTGGTGTGGCCGAGAGTGGGGTGGGCCCGCCTTCCCTCTCGAAATGCTCTCACATGGCCACGCGCATACAGCCTTTGTCAGGGAAGTCCTACTCACTGCCTTCTCGTGACGTAGGTGTTGTTTACGAAAATGAGAGGACGAAAAGAGAATGTCCGGCGCTTTAACCGGATCCCAAACCAATGGTGCTTATGGGCTCCAGTATCCTGCGGGAACAAATGGCGTATGAACCAATCATTGGTCACCGGCTACCATGGGACTGCATCTCCTCACGATGCTCCACTACCTTGCGGGTCAGACCTTTAGGTCAAAGGCTCGGAGTGTGGCCCCCTGAGAAAACCACCTGCTTCGGTCTGGGCACTTGGGCAGTATCACAGCCCACACAAACACAAATATGGTGTGGCGCATATATATTTGGTGCCTTCCTGTACCAATATTTGTGTTGAAATAATAATAATAAAGAGAAAAGGGAGTTGAAAAATTAACTTCCTGGAAGTCCAGGAGACTAAGTGGACGATGCTTTTCCATAGCGGCCGAAATTAAATTTTATCTTTTATAAACGATGAGGCTTTTTATTTTTCCTGTATTCATTTTTTTAAAACTAGTTTTACACATTTGTAACTGATCTAACTTAATAAGCAAGTGCAAACTCATGTACTGGTCTTTGATTCACTTTTTCTACTAGGAAGTGATGTTAAATGACTGTCCACTACATAGTATGTTGACAGAGTTTCAAATATAACTCGGGAGTTGAAAGTCACGAGTTTTAACCAGCAAGCCACAGGTCTAAATTATAGACTGTTAATTATTGTTTTGTGAATATGTAGAGAATAACAAATCTATGAAACTAACAGTGATATAATAGTTACAACTCATACAGTAATTACTAAATCCTAATCTTACACTGTCTATCATCAAGCTTCACCTACTGCGCGTGTGCCACATTTGGGTCATACCGAACCATCACGTCTGACAATCTTATCTCTGTGCTAATGAGATGTGGCAACTTGAATCTATGTACATACGTACCAGTTTCTACGTTGCAACCAACCGATTAACCCACTAATCACATACTTTATTTATTTCAGGATTCAAAATAAATCACTACAAGGATACTTTATCATGTAAGAACACTTATAACATCATAAGTAATTAAGTATTTCAGAAATTAAGTTATAAATAATCTCAACATAAATCGTAATCCATTAAATAAACCACGATGTCGCTTCGGAATGAATAACACCACAGTTAAGTAAATATTCATATAAACAGTCCTCATGCTGATTGATTGGAGATGATTTATGCTACTTTGAGGAGAACTAGCTATGTATTCATAGTGTCTCATCCAAATGAAATACTAATTCTGAACTTGTCTTAAAACTCTTAAGTTTCAAGAAGTTGTTCCATTCTTCAATCAAGTTCATTAGGTATGTAAGCTAATGGTAGTATTATAATTTACAATGCATCATTTGGAAACTTAGATAACAGAATGACCATGAAATCTTTCTCGTGGATTTTTTATTGCATATTCAGTGTTGATCGATTGATTGTGCTTAGTAATAAGATATAACCGAGCGATAGCCACTAATCAAATGGAATCTATTGACTTCTTACATTCATCTACAGACCCTGACCAAGAACATTAAAAGACTGGACAATAAACCATTCCATCACAGTTGTATCCTTATTTTTCCACTAATAACAATAGTTTTTAACAAAATTAACATGCCTAGCAATTTGTTTACGCGAATCTCGCTTTCCAATTATGTACTTTAAATTCTGGATATTTCTTATCTCTGATTAACAAATAAGTGAGAATTCCAAGTGAAATTAATGTTCTCTTGTACATCTCTTACTCAGTAGTCCAATTATTAACTTTTAAACCACGATTATGTTCTAGGCTATTTACAAATGTGAAACAGTCATTTCAATATTGGGATTTAAGTTTCGCGCTTCAGTACACGAAGAAACAACCAAGCGACAGTTAGTTATACTTACTTGATATCTTATCATTTTGGAATCACATTGAAGGCAGTGTCACTGTAAGTTCAAAGTATGAGATTTCTTCTTAAAACAGTAGCCAGAGAAACATTAACCGAAGTAGTTTATGTTTATACCATCTGGATTCACTTGACTTCCCAAAGTGTTTTGCTTTTTATATGGTATATACTCATGTCTGCTTCATCTTTAATGAAGAAATAATACGCCATTTCCTTAACTGTTTGGTTTTTGTTGTCTGAAATGTGGTTACTTGGAATATAATTAACTGCATATTTCTGAAAATAAACAAGGCGAGTATGATAATCTCTAGTGTATCGTTGCTTAATAGAAGCTATAAGCCACATCTCTTACGCAGGGGATATTAAAACTACTGTGAGTCAACACACCATTCGAATCTATGACAATTGTTAAAAGTTAGCCCCTCAAATCAATAAACCATTACTTTGCTGAATCATATTTCGGAACATATTAACAATAATCAAACTAACAAAAGTTACAAATAAATAGCTAAGTAAAAAATGTTAAATTTTTAAAAAAAGACTAGTGGGTATATCTAGTGTATCATTTTAAAAGTTGTATTAGTTTCTTATCTAGGCAATGGACTTAGTAATTAAATTTTAGAATCATTTTACATCTTATTAAATATCGAAATGCAAATAATCAGTGCAAGTGATGTTTGATTGAGACTTCAGTCACTTAACATTGGTTGTAGTCGTCTTGATATTTTTTTTCTCACTGTGAGTAATGTGCCACACTGCTAGAGTATTCATGTCGTTAGGTCCTTTATTCTTTTATTCCTCCAATGATTTTCTAAAAATGATAATTTTACATAATATTTCAAAGTTATTGATTTAGATATATAAAAGCTATCAGTTGTAACTTCTGTATAAAATAACCAACATTTATGTGAATGTTAATGTAACTCAGCGACCACATATATGTTCGTGTGCTCACATTTTCCATTGTAGTCTAGCTTCAATTGACTCATGATCCCAACTATTAAAAATACTTATTTTTGATTGGATTAGAAATATTTTGTCTTAGACCAATCAGTCAGTCAGAAGAAAACAAGTCGGCCTTGAATTTCGTACAAATACTCCGACCTAAAATTACTAATGACTGTTATTTACCACGTATATGTTTCTATACTCAGCTTTGAGTTATCATGTTTTCATGTGGGGGCCAATTATACTATCCATTTGACGAGAGCGAATTAGTCAAAGTGGTGATAGGATATACGATGTACTAGTTGAAAACCATGTACCTTAACTACAGATTCCTCATTAAACGAATGTAAAACCTAATAATTTTTAAAATTTGCTGCCAGGAACCATTTTTAAAACCTCGCAAAGAATACTACATTTGGAATATGCGAATTTAATTACATTAATATATATTTTTCATTTCGTTCATGTTAGATATTTAGTATAAGGTGTAGTGTAAACGTCGGTTCGAAATCCACTCGTTATTTGAACAACAGTTAATATATACGTTAATAAGGATCACATATGATATATTTACTACAGAAAACCATTTTTAAACAATTCTAGTAATTTAACTAAATGTAAAAATAATCGATAAGAAACTTGTTATGAGTAGTTGCGTTTCGAATTAAAATGAATTATGAAACCTTATCAATATTTAGTGTCTGAAGTGTATCCAGTAACTAATAAAATACCAATTATTGACTTAACTGATCAGTTTTCCTGCCGTCTAATTGGGGCATTGATATAATGAAAATTGCTAAGTGTTCTCATGAATAAGTTAGTTCCTTATACAACTAGTAGCTTTTTGAATCTGACTGGAAGGCTAAAGTTATTGCTTCTGTAAAACTACCAGTTTTGTATAAAATTAACAGTTTTTGTTTGCGAGACCCAGTTACAATTTCTCTTGCTATTTTAATAATTATTACGAATTATCATGTTTGTTGCTTAGAGGCTAAAAGAATTAAACTTCAACTAGTAGGTCTCAAGCTGAAACTCCGACCACTTAATTCATTCTGGGCAACCAGATAACTGTTGTCATCACAGAAACAAATAGCCTTTTTCAACAATGAATACGTTAACTTTTACTTAGTTGATAAATGAGTTTCATAACATTAAGTTACTAGTCATAACTGTTAATTTTGTATAAAACGCTATTGTAAATAATATTTCATGAAATATTTATCCATATATATTTCTAAAATGCTTTTTAGGACATTGGATAGTTCAGATGATGATGGTGAAGTCAGTAGTGGTATTAGCAGTCATTCCAAAGATAACTTGAAACAACAACATAAGAAGAAGAAAAAGGAGAAGAAGAAAAAGAAATCAGTTAAGAAAAGAAAACATTCACTATGTGGTGATGATGATAATAATGGCGGTAGTAACGATGTTGGCGAACTTAATTTCACTTCAAGTTCTATGACATATCATCACGCAAATGATGAACGAAGTCGTCATAAACAATATCATGAACAGGAACCACAGCAGGAGCACAGATCAACCAAGCATAGATCACATTCAAAAAAACATAAAGATTCTCATTCAAAAGAACGGAGGCACCACCATCACCATTGATAATAGACAACTATACCTAATGGGTTAAAACTGTTCTGTACATAAATATATATATATATATATATATATATATATATATATATATATATATATAAGCACACGTTATCTTAACTATTGTCTAGTTCTTTTTCGTACACAAAACTTATGTTTTATTGTAATAATGTTACTATTAATTTATAAAAAGGAGTACAAACTTTCAACATACTCATCATAAAGTTGTTTGTCTTTTTTCATTTGAATAAAAAATGAGCATGTCAGCACTTTGTTTTTAGGTTCATGTGTAAAATAATCTGTTAATATGTATGAACTCATTTAGGTACTATCTGATGACCATTATACTATGACCGTTGTTAATAATACTGGTATTAATGCTATATATAAATGCATAAATTACACTAAGTGGTTGTTATTTGTAGAAGAACTTATAAAAGTATCTATGATATTAGTCCTAAACCTGTCAAGTCTTTTGAAAGTCTGCACACAGAACGAAATGTTCATTCTTTTTTTCCACCAGACTTTCTAATGCCTACTCGGTTTTTGTTCACTGAACTAGGTAGGCTATCAAGGAATCATAGAAAAAGATATCCAAATCCATATAATCTCAATTATTTTGCAGTATTGGTTAGTGAGCTAGATCGTCTCAGTTTTTAAGAATGATAAGTTTTTTAGTAAATATGAAAGCATCATACACTGAGAGGACTAAGTTTATCGGAACTATGAGATGTAATATATTAGCATAATGCTTTTCGAACAGCTTGACCACCTTTATACTTGTTAAGAATAGTTAGGTATGAAAAATAAGAGATCTAAGTTTGTACAACTCATATTAATAGAATAAACTGGAATAAATAATTATGGCTAGATTTCTGGGTTGCATATTGGCTAGTTCTTGACAGGTGGCTAACGCAAACCTATATGTGATCAATAAATTTTTAAGATGACACTAGTCGATGGTACTGATGTATGGGCTGGCCAATTGTGATTAACTGGTACGATGTAATTCGGTTGATTTTCCCGACTATTAATAATTGTCTCATTGAGTGTCATATGTTTGGTTGCAGCAAAGAATTTTCAGTATTAAATATGCAGTGCTGTGACGAAAGTCCTGTTTCATAAGCATTCAACTTGTTAATATTCAAGGTTCTAAATGGCATTCAACTCCCGTTCATATCTGTTCCCAAATGCTCCTAACCAATCTCGCTCCTAAGACATTTGTTTGAATCACAATTCGTTTAATTCATTTGAATTAGTTGTTCGAAGCCTCTCATTAATGTTTAGGACTGTACTTAACATACATGCATCCTGTGTGGATTATCTCGATGTTGCTATTAAGTCACAATGATTTTAAGCAGAGATGGATAGTGTCTAGTTGGTGTTCACTCCGGGATGCGGGTATATCCGGCTGGCGGACCTAAGTAGGAGGGAACGCACATCCTAAACTCCACTGCTATCCGTCTTGCTTAAAGAGTATTGTATTTGGTTTATGGATACGATGTAATAAATACTTGTTTCTCCAACAGATACTAGGAGAGGACGGCGCTAGGAGCGCTATGGTGGTACTTCTAATTGTCTCCGTAATTAGATTTGTGACAGGTAAATATTTTATCAAGTTGCCTAAGTGAACGCAATTAGCGGACGTAATTAGTTTTACTTTGGGAAGGACAAGAGATTGGATGATTAGTGATGTATGTGCGAGAATAATAATAATTGGTTGTCTGCTTAATCTGACAGGTGTCAGATGAGTTATATATCCCCATATCCTTATAATAATTATTATTGATTGTTCGTTGTTGTTGGATTGTGTCGGGTTTTTGTGTGGAATATATTTACGTCCTAGTCAGGCTAATCACGTTCTTGATCTGAGTTGTGTCGAAGTCCTGTAGAAGGTAATCTAGTGTAGATATTCGTCTAAGGTAAATTAACGTCCCATACGTATAAACGTGTAAAACCAACCGTTATAACAATTAGTGTTAGTTCTGTATAGGCGAAAAAGTTCCCAAAATAAGTCCCTTCTTAAGTCGCTGGCATTGACGCTAATTGATCTAGCCTCACTGGATACATCGCTAACCGAAGATGCTCGGTTGAGCACATGTACTAGATCACGTTCGGACACACTATGCAAAGTACTTCCGACAACTACCCAACTTTGATATAGTACCCCATAAACCTCTGCATGTAATTCAAATGCATCTTTCTCGACTTTGGTTTCATTGGCTTATTAGATGTGATTAGTACAGTATTATGAAATCTTACCTATCTGATACATTTTCAGTCCTGTTGATGGAAGTTTAAGTTGACCCAACTTTCTCTTGAATACATTGACAGGAAGAGCTTAAACTACGTCTTGAGGTAGGGATCTTCAATAGTTTACAATATGATGGCTGACAGCTTATCGGTCCTGGCGTTTTTCTTTGGATTGTCTCAGTAAATTCTCTTTTGCGGAAAAACAGAAGGACGTGTTTATGTGAAATGCGAAACTGTTATTAAGTAATTTGGAAATCATGAATGTTAACCTTATTCCTAAATGACTGGTGAGTAGGTTTAGTTTGGCCAGTCACTCGCTACACGGCACCCTAGAGATAACAGGAGTCAGCTGTATTGCAATTCTTTCGCGAATCAGAAATAAAAATTCACTGCATGAATTGCATGTCTGGAAAAATGGTGACCCAGAAGTTTGGTCTGACTGCCGTACCACTTCGAAACATCTCATCTTCTTCAATGTAATTGCTAGATGGACATCCACATTCATTTGTAAATTGTTTAAAATTCACTAATTGTACAGTTAGTATGACTTTCAATCCCAATATATTATTCATATGTCATGCGCATCTAGTAATTTTAATTACTCGGTCGGACAGGTGATTTTGATGTTAACATAAACCAGTCAGTTAAATGAAGGGCAGGTCCTGGCACCTGTGTACATCGACTCAAGTTTCCATAACCCATCGACAGCAAGATGAAGTTCTCAGAGTAGTGGAGGTAGTAATAGTATTAGTGGTAATAGAAAAGACTAAGCATCGAAGATACGATTTGAGAAAATACAGATTAATGAAGTAAAAATGATTAATAGGGCAATTAGTTTATTAGGAGAGACAAAAAGTGAGTGCGCCTGGGCCAATGCAGACGATTTTTAGCCAAATCAATTAAAGTCTAATCATCGGTTGCAATGAACATATGGAATCCAACCACATAGTTTGCATCTACCTACATGACTCACTTCAACAGTCAATATCTTTATGAACTGATACTATCTCTTGGTTTATCCACACTTAACTTTAATCAAATTTACTCTTAAACTAGCCATCACGTGTCGACGTAGTCGTTAGATGATCACTAATTTGTCAACTGATATACCATCAATGTGAATGCAAAACAGAATATTCAAACAAACATGGCATTCTTCATGGATACAATAATCAACTTTAGGTGTATTTTAACCAGAAATAGAAGAAAATTGATCGATCTATTTTGGAAAAGAAGAGCCAGTGAAAATAATAAACAATCCACAAATATGTGTAGGTCAACATCTCATTATTTTCATATTATATCGCCAACTGAAATAATTTCTATCTCTGTACACATTTAGTATATATGGTTAGCCGAAACAGGATGGTGAATTTTTCTTGTTACATATAATCAGTAATGTCGTATATACTCAACTGTGTGTGAGTGTATTATTTTACAGATTTTTTATTGATCACAGTAATTAGTTTGTGAAGTATTGATGTGCACATATGAATTGGAGTGAAATAATTAGAAAAATGTGGATTTACCACACGACCGTCATCTTCATGACCATTGTGTTCAGAGTTCAATTAAAATAAACTGTGGGCTTTTCTGAACAAGAAACAATACTGATTTTGGGTTTTAATTATTAAGCGATAAATACAATTTCCAATGATGTATTACTTAACTAAGTGGTATATGACAAAATTGCTCAATCCCTGCTGACTAGAAAAACATATATTACTGGTTGCTAAACAATTGAGGATTAGTTCCGTTGATAAGGCTTTAGAAAATCGGTTCAGCATGACTGAAAGAAGCGTGTGCTGTAACCCATTATTTCCAGTGAGCCATTAGAAGTAGTTTAGAAAATCGGCCTATTTCAGTAGCTTCTCGTCAAGTGGTTACAACTATTTATGTATTGAAATGTACCATTGAAGTAAAATATAATGTGGCACAACTGACAGTGGTGATGGGAAGAATTAAAATGACAGGGATTATAAAAAATGATATTGACAGTGTTATTCTAATTCTTTCTATCAATAATGTCAATTTTTACACATTATGATTTACCTTAATGCTACATTCCAATGCATATACGCTTATAAGCAGCTGATGAAAAACCATGAAATGTGATAAATTCAACATTTTCTACTTCAATTGTTTTTTCGGCTTTATTCAAATTCATAAAAGGAACCAATCGCATGATATTTCAGTAGTTGTGTCAGTACTGGTGGTGGTGTGACTGATTATATTAATCTTGGTTTATTGAATGTCGAAGGAGTTTGTGTTAATCCAGTCCATCACTCATGGCATCATGATGTTAGTTTGGCTGTAAAGGGTCGTGTTTTCAACAAACCGATTAGAGCAGCTTTGCTCTGTGCTTGTGAAAACTAACCTCTCCGAGTTGAGGATGCTTGGCGACTCTCTGTATTCGACCATCTTTATTGTTAAAGGATTCCTGATATATATTGGCGACATCATATTAGGAATCCAGGTCTACAATGTGTATTTCGTCATAGTGATGACAATTTATATGACGTTAACAACTGGGAACATCGATTCTGGTGGCTTTTACATGTTTTACGAATACCACCACAGCGTCCCACACATCGTGTTTTGTTAGCCAGCTCTGGGATTAGTTGGAAAAGGCGAATTGATGGCCATTTTACGATATGGTGCCTGAGAGAATGAAAGCTGTTCAGGGCTAGCGCATGTCAATTCATCATAATCGCTTGGTCCGAAAGATAGTGCAACACAGCGTATTGAGAGTTATA